TCTATGTGGCCTCTTTCCAACATTCGGATATTAGAACATATACTGAAAATACCTTATCAAAGATTGTCAATGATTTATTCTTTTTTGTTTTTGATAACTTAGGCTTTGATGGCGTCCTTAAGCTAAAAAATAAATGTATCCACAAACTAAAAGAAGTGTGACGAGCTTGTACATTTTGCAAGTATCTTACAAAATAATAATAAAAGATGTTAATTGCGTCCTAGAATACATCGACACTTCCTTTTCCGTATAATAGAATACTATTTTCAGTGCGGTGTCGGCATCTCACATTTAGGTATTCATATTTTTGAGCACTATATAGATCGTACGTTGCTCGTCGGCCTTTATGATGGCACTTTATTATATTGTTTATTGTTTTCGAGAAATATAGTGCCCAAATAGATGACCAGTGACAGTGAGAATAAATGAAATTGTTATTCTTTAAATCAATTGTCTATCTGTGTTTTGATGTTTGGATATTTTTTTTATTTGAAATATAACCATAGGATAAATAACAATTTCTTACCCTGTTTTTTATAACAAAATCACTGTGTTTTATGACGAGTATATAGCAATACAAGCTTTAATACAGTTCATTTATAGTATATTAAGATCAAACATTGCAATAAACATTTATCTATTGATTTTCTTAAAATCTTATGGTCAAATCTGCCTCTTGTTAAAACCGTTGAACATTATTAAAGACAGCATAGCGACATTGGAACGTATGGATTTATTATTTCTTAATTATATCACAACTTTAATGACGAAGTTATTTGTAAAAAAATAGAGCCACAGTAGTATAGTATCAGTAGGTCAACACAACCTTTTGCTGGAAAATAAGTTTTTTTTTAAATAAAGCGGCATGCCTACAAATACATGCTTATTTTCATGAACATTTTGAAAAAAAAAAAAAAAAAAACATTTGAAAGTAAAATATTGTGAAGTGATCACACGGTGAAAAAGATAATTACAATAAACGTTTAGGTGTAAATAACGCACAATAAATAACTTGACATATACAGCTAAATACCCATTAATTGCAAAAAAGTCACTCAGTACTTGAACCTTTAATCGTTTTTATTTCTCTTCAAATCTTACGCTCATCTGGTGGAATGCAACTTTAAAGTCTTTCAGATGAATACAGTTTGTTTTTTAATTATTAAATCGGTAATATTTATTGTAAGTCTTCCAATTATGAAGCGGTTAGTATACACAATCTTTATCAATGATATACTTATTTTAAGTATTTACTAAGTATTTTATGTATAAATGACACGCCTTGAAAAACATAACATTGCAGGACATGATTGTCAGCATAGCAACACTTAATGATCTCGGAAATGATATATCTTAATTGATATAATACTCTTATTGAGCAACAAAATTTTATATAATTATAAATAGTAAGATATGCAAACGAAGGCCAGATGACAAGTTGCGTTGAATAATAATAATAAAAAAAAACAGTATTCATTAACATTTATGTTGTTTCGTTTTTTGTTTGTTTGTGTGATCAAATGATAAGCATAATGATTCTGTGACGTTCAGTAAAATTTAGGTAAACATCCAATCAAACGCATACTCATATTTTCGAAAGTTTATTCGTTAACGTTCACAACATTCTCTTTTCTACATGATGGTGGATATTCAAGAAACAAATCTCTTGTACACATACAATAATTCGTTACTTTTTGTTATTAAGAATTGCAAACTGTGTTGATATCTGATTCAAAATGTATCTTCGAATCGATTCAGTTCTAGACGCATTGAATTCAGTTTGATAAAATTAAAGGCCTTCTGTTTTATTAGACGAAAACCGGATCTATGATAACTAACATACTTATGACTAAAACATTGTACAATGACACTTTTAAAACAAGTGATTTATCGGATAAATCAATGAAATCGGTTAGGTATTGTTTTAAACGGTTTATTTATGTTGAATTAAAGACATATTTCTATGATGGACATGATTACAATGTAAATAGTGTTTACTTTTCAATAAATTTGTTTACTTCGTTTTTTTTAACATTTATTGTAAAAAGAACGAGCTACAAAATACAAAAAATGATAAGGGCTACGGACGTCGAGATCGTCGTCCTTTTCCGAGTTACAATATGAGTCTATCGATCGCTGTGGTTCAAACATGTAACGCTGACATGTAACGCTGGTCTACACATGGATCACCATCAGCGACTTTTTTGATTATGTTAATCCCACAATATGTACGTAGATGCAAATAATGTTACAAGAATCACTGCAAAATAGGGTTATAATAATCTATATGTTACATAGGGATATATGTACGCCGCTTGCGGTTTTAGGTCTCATCTGCATAACAGGTAGCAACTCATGCATGTGTGATTCTGGACTTTGTAAGGGTTATTGTACAGTTACGCGTACATTATGAAAACAAAAACTAACTGTGTTCTACATTATCAAATATTAAAATGTGCACGTCGTTACGTTGACCGATGACCTTACTCGAGACGTTATTTCTTTTTTTTTATTTCTTGACATACAAAATATATAATCAAGTTAAAGTAATGCCATGTCGAATTTACAACAATGGAAACTTTAGAATTACAAAATATGACATATTTATTTTACTTTATTATAATAGTACACTTTTGCTTCATGTGCAAACAAGTTTAGATAATGATGTCGTATACTGAAATACGAAAATTGTGACTGAAATGAAAGTTATATATGCTTCGTATGATTACTCTTTAGAAATGTGTTTGTATATATAAGTATATAAAAGAAATTAGAAACAAAACTTATGACATCAGTGAGAAACAAATTTTACTAATAAAACCTGGTCTCAGAGTATCTCTTGATGAATGTATCATGACAATGTGCATAAATCAACTTAGAAATCGTATCTTCTAATTCACCGGCCTAAATTTGTTTGCAAACTGTAATAATATCATAGTTGTATTGAACGTAACATTTCAAAGTATCAAACTTCCAAATAAATAGATGTTAGATTTGATACGATTTTTAATTAAGATAAAGAAAGAGATGATAAAGAGTGTTGGTCTTTATAGCGTCAGCCGATCGATAATCAGATATATTGATCACTATATCTGACAGAAATTGGCAACAAACACAATAAGTCAATTGACAGAATGTGGTAACGCAATTAAAGATGACTTTAAATGTGTTTGAATTACACACGATTATTAGCACATAATTACAGTTTAAATATTTTGATCCATATGCTTTCTTCCAAATGTTGATATTATTGTTAAAACGAAACTTTATATTAGACAATTATAACTTTTAAATAGCCCAGCATATTATTTTGATGTGAAATATAACGTACAATATCGTTTTAGATTGTGACTTATTTACGATTTATTCCAAAACACTCATATCACGATCGATATCTGCTATTGATTGTAAATATTAACTCATATATTGAGTGTTTTCTTTTCAACGAATCGTATCCTTCATCTTCAAATAAAACGACATGAAGACTAACATACATGTTATATCTGAATATAACATAACTCAATGATGTACTTCGGTAATTATATTTGTATTTAAAAGACATCACACTTTGGCATTTTTAAAATATCTCAGTCATGTTGTATATAATTACTTTATTTTAAACAAAGTTAACACAATACCATTAAAATATCTTGATCAGTTGTCATGTATATTATATCATTTAAATATGTGATTATACACCAAGTCATTTAAGAGGCATCGTTTTGATACATGTAGTTTATTTAAGTAAAAAAATATAAACATACTTGTCGACACTGAAAATAGAAAAAATAAAGAATGGTAAGAATATTTATCGAACTCCATTGATGGCTTTACTTCATCGATCATGGTATAAGGGAAGTATATTCAAGTTGTCTAAACAACGTATCAATTTTCAATCTGTTACCGTCAATGTGGAAATTATAGCGAATTATAACATGTATAAATATTGCATAAGTAATTGAACACAATCTTGAGGTAAACTATATATACGGATAATAAACATCAAGCATGTGGTATAATACACACACAGTAAATACTATTATACAATATACAATAGTGATATGCATCCTTGGATATTTTTGTCACTTAACTAGATAAAACTTTTTGTGAAACATGTTAAAAACAGAACTATGCAAAGCAATAACTTTCACGTAAAAAGTTCTGATTTACTATAGCAACTATTTTATTTGCTTGAAGACGTTCCAGTAGTTTAATATATCATATTATAGCAATCGTATTATTGTATTTTATAGCTCGTTTCTATTGGATTTTTTTCCTTAAATTGTATTCCTGTTAGCATTGTTACCCCGATCATCGTGATATCTTGTTATTCATTTTGCTACACGTTATGAGCGACACTACCTGTTGCATAATGTTGGTAAGTGCTAGTTAGCGTTAGAGACGTCGTACAGTGAAAGAAGGTATATATAAACGGAAAACGCATGAAATCACGTGAACACTCAGTGATGTTTTATGTTTTAAATAGATGCATCACGGGCACCATGTATTGTTATGTGACTACAATGATGATTCATTATCAACTTAAGTATCAAATGACATGCCACTCGCACGTGAAAAGTATGTTAGCTTTTGTTTACGAAAAAAGAGTATGTTCCGGACCAGAGTTCTTTTGTAAAGGAGATACAACATTTATAAAAAAATAAAAACGGTATTTAATTTTTCCCGGAAGTAAAATACGTGTGATATTAAAATTACACATTATTCAATGTAAACCGTATTGTATTGAATGTACCGTATCTTAGATCGATGACTTAAAACATGCAACAATATGTTTCAAAATTTCAACGGTATATTCAATACAATAGCGCTCTGACATATAAGAAATAGCATATTATACCGTATAGATAATTTCTAAGTTTCACTTTACACGTTTCTGACGGCAAATCGTTATGCTAAAAATTACAAAATAAATCTTCTGTTTAAATCTTTATAAATCAAATCATCAGAAACGAAATACGCAAAAAATACTAAATACTTACATTTTAACTTTAATTCGATCGCCGACTTTCCATGTATCTCGAGATTTTTTATCGGATTTGCTTCCTCTAAACACACTTAAAATATATTATAGATAACATGTTTAAACAAACGAATATGGTATTCAAGTCCTTTTAATAAATTTCGTAGAAATGAGAATACAGCTATGTCAAATATAAGACTCTTAACCCTTAGCAATGCTTTATAGTAAAGAAGTACAAACTTTTTGTCCATAATATTTTTAATTGATACTGAATTAAAATGCATTGTTATGTACGAAAGATCGGTAGGGCCATTTCAACTTAATGAATTCCCGATTTCATGTTCATGAATTCACAATTTAAACTCCGTGCATTCCTGTTTTCAAAATACGGAATTCACGATTCAGTCTCATGAATTCACGACTTCAACTTCACGAATTCACAATTTCAACTTCATGAATTCACGATTTCAACTTCACGAATTCACGATTTCAACTTCATGAATTCACGATTTCAACTTCACGAATTCAACTTCGTGAATTCACGATTTTAACTTCACGAATTCACGATTTCAACTTTATGAATTCACGATTTCAACTTCATGAATTAACGATTTCAACATAACGAATTCACGATTTCAACCTCATGAATTCACGATTTCAACTTCATGAATTCAACTTTGTGAATTCATGATTTCAGCTTCACGAATTCACGATCTTAACTTCACGAATTCACGATTTCAACTTCACGAATTCACGATTTCAACTGCATGAAATCGTGAATTCGTGAAGTTGAAATCGTGAATTCGTGAAGTTGAAATCGTGAATTCATGAAGTTGAAATCGTGAATTCTTGAAGTTGAAATCGAGAATTCATGAAGCTGAAATCAGGAATTCATGAAGTTGAAATGTCCCCACCGGTCTTTCGTAGTTATGAGTAGTTAGTTCACTGTTACATTACCTGTCAATTTAGCAGATTATTGCGTGTTCCAAGAAAAACAAACACAAAATAACGAAGATTTTCTAGTAAATGAAACAATTAACTTCATTCATAGTGAATAAATTGTGACAAACTACAATCAGATTATGTTAATACGTTAATAATAATTGTACATTATTTCCAAGTAACAGTTGTATTTATTTGAGTTGATGCTCAAAAGTTATGTAAAAACTATGTATCGGGGATAAATATTCTATTCGTTTCAGGTGTTGTGTTTGTTTATATAATTACAGACGCTGCAAAATAATTACATGTTTTTTTCATAATAACATAAATTTGACAAGGTAGGCATGTTGTGACCCTAAAATTATACTGAACAAAATAAAGCCATAAACATGACACTTAGTGAATATGCAACAAACATACAAAATACAAACGTCTGACGTATTTAACCTAAAACGTGAACATCCTTACCATCTTTTATGGGTAGTGATTTTGACGTGTATGCAATTTATATCTTTGATCATATTAAAGGACTCTTTTTTGGCCCAAAATCCTAACAACATTATATATTAATTTGTAACATAGATCAGTTTGGGCACTCAATACAATATGCAAAACAATTCATGTATATTCTCAGAAATAAATTGAAAATCGTATTTGCGAGTAGTTTGAGATCACTTTTAAATTACGAATTTATATTCTTGAAAAACGGACACTGCAAAAAATGTTTGGATAGACGGAAGTGTACGGAGCGAGTAAACTATCTGCACATTTTAACACAACTTATTTGTGTAAACTGTCATGAAACATTATCGAACAATCTGGTCATGTCAACCACTCTTAGTGGAGATTCTTTTATATTACTTATCATTGAAAAGCGTCCGTTAATATTATTGCACAAACATAGTTTCTTTCTTATTGCTTGATTAAGCAGCTACAGCAATGTTATACCTTATTCATTTGCAAAGATTTGTAATTAAAAACAAATTTAGTTACATGCAATATGTAATTTATAATTTGCATGGTACTGTGTATCATTATGGTATAAGGGCTATTCAATATATAATAAGATTGTCCTCATATTTTTTACTCTAACATGAAATATTACAAAATGTGGTTTCATTATTAAATATAACTTAATCGTGATGACATTATCGGCATTGGCAGAAAATATATAACGCAACATAGAAATTATGATAATTTCAATAACCATAGTAACACGTTATCGCCCGTCCGTTCTGTCGAATTATCATTTCAAGTAAAGTAAAAAAAATGTATGCAATAACGTAAAGCTCCGCCAATACTTTGTACTTTATATCAGTGATGTCATGTAAAATGACATTATTTGGTCGTATAACGTTGTTATAATCGACATTTGTCCACGGTTAGCTTGACACGTTGACACGTTAACATTATAACACAAAAAGCCCTTAAAGTGCGGACGAATTGGCGACTGAAACATTTATAATGTTGCAAAAGATAGAAGGACACTAATCCCTGAATGACAAACATAGGTCCGGCAGAAGAAAGTACGTAAAAGCGTCAAGCGTCGTGTCAATTCAGTTAGCGCTTGATGGATAGGCATTGACGGTGCGGGAGCTTGCCGAAATTGCTATTATGAGTGTCGGAACTGCGCATCGCTTACTGACGAAATATTTAAGGAAGGGAAAAGTAAGTTAATATTTTAATAATGAATAATCCTAATAGAAATTTAGTAATTCAAGTATAAAATATCAGTGTTTTGGATCAAAATAAAAGTATAATGACAGATTTATAAGTATAAGTATAATTTAGATTTAAAACATTTATAATTCCTGCTTCAATTTTTTACAGTAAATAAGAACTGCATTAATGTTATTAAATAATGAAAAACAGTATCACATGTCTGTCTGTATTTATGTATTTTTTATTATGCTAGGTGCATGCTTGATGGGTCCCCCGTCTTCATAAAGACTATGAGATAGATAGTCGCTTCCATTAAGTTCATCTGGCGAGTAAGGGTGGAGGGTGGCGACTTCCTCTAAAATGAAATAACGATAGACGAGACTTGGCTTCACTTGCATGACCTCGAGACACGCGCCAAGTCTGCCGTCTTGAAGCGCTCGGGCATTCGGGGCATGTTGTAAAAAAATAGGATTGTGATAAGACTTCATGGCAACTTAAACTGCGCGAACGACGTTGCTGACGCTGCAACATATTGTTGTGTGGGGGTGATAGAACAAGCATGACTTTCTTATATATTCTGAACTTTCAAACTGTTTTATGAAATGAATGAACTTTGTTAGTATGTATTGCATAAAACCGTTGAATGTATCATATAAAAGATATGAAAACAGTCTCATTTAAATACTGAACAGCCCTCGTATATTAAATATAATTAACTGAGATATTTGTATCAAAAAGAAGTATTTTTAAAAAAGTTGTTTCACAGAAACCGCTTCATTATCTTTAAGCTAAATATATAATCAATATCATGTAATATATATTCAATAATAGACGTAAACATATGAATCGCTCTTATAAGTCTATATATCGAGATTATAGTTCTTTTACCAAACGTAACTGAAATGTTTAGTTAGAGATTTAATAACCCATTTCTTAGTTTCTATGTCAGTTTCATAATTTGCTATCATTTAATAAACAATTAATATCTCTTTGGAGATTGTGCTAATAGTAGTTATCGTGTTTCATATAATGAAAGCGGTGTTTTATAAATCTATTCGCTTTAAAAAAACTATTGTAGTTGTCTGTTATTCATACAATTGGATTTAACGAATGATTAATTAAAAAGCCGGGCATCATTCTGACTATTAGTTGTTTATTTTACTTGGATCGAATCAGTTAAATTATTGAGATTGTAATTGCTTCTTTGTTTTGGCGGGAAATATGTTCTAATTTACAACAAAAATGATGCGAAGTTCCTGTTTGTATTTACCTTTCGTTGTTGTTTTCGTGTTGATTTAGTGTGCAAACAAGCACTACCTTATGCTCTTTGTAAATATCACGTAACTATAGTTTTTCTTCAACTTATTCGGAGCTTGGTTTAAACGTCTTTAAACAGTAAATATTTTAATGTTTCATTAATTAAAACAAATATAGTCTTTACAAAGATCAAAACGTTATTATAATTTAAAATCAATAAAATCAGAAAAAAATGTATATGGGTAATAGCTGTAAAGTCGGTGAACGTGCGTAAGCATTGAACTTAGACTATAAAATGCAAATACTTTATATTTATACTATTATCAAGGGCGTGAACGTTATCATTATTCAAATGGCATCTAACTAGTATTGTGTATATATTTTTATACAGATTTTACAATAACCTGTACATTATTATTATTTATAATTAATCAAATTAGTAAACGTGTATATTGTCTGTACACAAATATGAACGTTACTACCATTTATAATACACAAAACTAGAAACCAATGTTTATTTCAGTTACAATTTTAAAGATATTGTATATCCTTTAATTTTAATCGAGGGATTAAGGAGGGATGATTCAAAATGACGTAAACTTTTGAATTACAAACATGTAGTTTAAAGTTTGTAAACCATATATTAAAAGAACGGAACATATAATTAATTAGATAAGCTATAACTATAATATATTCAGCACGGCATGGGATTCTATAACCATAGCGGTACATTTGCGGCGCACACAGATTTTGCAGATTCTGCAGAGTCCACAATCTTGTTAAGTTAAAGAAATCCTAATTCTAGATAAGATACACAAGAAAAAAGAGCGAAATGAAGCCACATCCGTTCGATTATGCTATCATTTAAAAGTTGGATGTTATCTGTATGTTAAAATTTTGTCACAACAATATTCATAGTGCAGTGTTACTAGTGTTTCTTGCTACAATTGTCGTTTACAGACTGGCGGGAAATCCGTACAGTATCTAAGATATGTCACTGTATCGTACAAACGTGTTTCTGGCGACAAGGGGCATTTGGTCGTGTTAGACCAGAATATGACGTGATAAAGGTGACTGAAAATTACAGAATGATGTAGAAGCATATTTCACATAATATTATTTTAACATTTGGAGAAACTTGTTTTTAAGTAGAACACATCTCATGCGACACATTTAACCCATAGGTTGCAAAAAGCTCATACAAGCAAAGTTAAACTTTTACATCTTGTCATGAGGGAAACAGACAAAAAACTTTCCAGCATGCAAAGGCTTAACTGTAGTTTGCCTAATTATGTTAATTTTGTCAATGTATTGCATTTTAATACATATAAATTTCTTAAAGGCTAACGAAAGAAAAACAATCTTTTTTCACCTTTTTGATTTCAAAATGTGCTGATTTAATTCACTCAGTTGTAGGCTAATTATTGTATATATTTATATTACTTTTTTTTCTTTCAATCATACAAATCCACAATAAGACTGAACAACTCAATTAATTACTAGATAATTAAGCTGTCTATACATACTTGCCGTCTGAATGGTATCCACAGGAATTTCGGCCTAATCCCGGTAAAAGATTATTTGGACAGCTACCCGGCACTAAACCAATAGCTAGAATAAAACATCCTACACGTTCTATTTTACTTTTCTAACAATTTACCGTGACGGAAATAAATCAATAAATTTTTCAACATTAATTAAGAAAGTAAAAATAAAAAAAAACTTACAAAAAGAAACAAACTTACCCAACTTTTCATTTATAATTATAATACATTTCTATGAATTATAAACCATATTTGAATTCAAAGGAAATGGTTGGACATGGCAATGCAAGACATGTCGTTTTGTAAAATTTTAAATAAATGTTTGTCTTTTATTGAACACCAAAGTGAATGTAACAAGAGTATAAATGCCGTTCCTACAAAAACTGTAATGACATTATCGTTGGTTGATACGAGCTATATTGAAATTACTTTTCTACAAATGGCCAGTCAGGTGAATTTGAACACATTCAGTATATTTATTTTACCTAAAGACCCGCTTTTCCCCATGCTTAATATCTCAATTTCAAAGAATTTTCCTACACGCACATCCTCCTTGAACACATACAATCCAACATCAGTACTTTCGTATGCGGCATAACTGTAAAAAAAAATTTGAAACATTATTAAAAGTGTTGATGACTATCTTATGGAAATTCACTTTAATTTTACTTAATAAGCAATGAAAACATAAAAATTGTACTTTTGTACCAATACCTTATGTCTACATGTATATCATTCACATGCGTGTTTGATAAGAAACAAACATAGATAGTTATATAAAATTCAATTCAGTTGCTATATTCCTTCTTAGAGTATATGTAATTAGAAAAACATATTTTATATACATGTCCATATCACTTTTAAACATACTATTGCACAATCACAAGAAATTTGTATATCGAAACATAAAAAGCATAAATGTGTCAGATTTGTATACAAGCATATCTGCATACCCGTGCAACACATCTCCATGACCTGGTTAATATATACGAGGGTTGTTCAAAAAGTAATAGGACTGAGAGTCTTGCATATTCATATTTCATCCAATTTAGAATAGTTTCATACGTATAGGAATTGTAAAATGTTTCCTACAATTTATGTATAATTTTATTCATTTATTGTGATGAACACCCGTTTCCTGTGATATTGAATAACCATGGTAACACGCACCCGGCGCAGCACGTAAAAATAGTTATTGAAGCTAAGTTGTACTTTTTATTTATTCATCATTTATTATCTGTTTGTCCATATATTCCACCAACACATTTATTTATATTTAAGTGACATTATATCTAAATTTGACGTTATTCAGGTATGAAATGGCATAATTGTTTAGTTTTGAACAGTTGTGGGCATGGCGTTAAATGTAGAAACACGGCATTCGGTACCAAACAGAAATTCTTGCGATCTTTAAATTGTGCCAACAAATTGGCAATATTCTTTTAGATACATACAAAATGATAAAATTAAGAAAGGAAAATTATCCTGCCGTCAGGACACTTGTTTTCAGCTGGTTCAATCAATTTAAAAACGGCAAATACAAAATCTGTAACAGGAAAGTGTGAGGATGAAAGCGGAAAATTGACGGGACGTTAGTGACGTCAATTGCAAAAGCGCTGTAAATGGATCGACGGTAAAGGGTATGCGGACTGTCCGGCATTTTTTTTTCTGCTTCGGGTCTACTTATTCAGTTCACACCAAAGAATTGTATATAAGACTTTTTTATCAAACACTATTTTTTGTATCTCATTAGATATACTTGGTTTTAATAAATTAATATAATAATGATTATCGGTAATGATAAGCAGTATTTTCCTCAAATTTTGTTTTGATAAATGATACTTTAAATTGATAAATATTGTTATTTACTTCATATAATCATATTGTTTTAAAAACGCACGATGACATATATGTGAAAACTAATAAAATAAATCGCTTTTACATAAGCATTACAAATCCATGCTTCTTGAGTTCCCAGTTTACTAAAAAATATTCGAGAAAAGTTGAGAATGGCCGGCTTCGGGCATTTTCCGTGGAGAGTTGAACGAAATTGTGATCGCTTTCTTTCTCCCTTAATTTCCACATATAAGACCTGATCATGGTCACATAATTCAGACACCTATAGCACTAGAGGAATACTTTCAGGATGGATTACACTTGTTACATTTCGAATTTAGTTTACGACGTCATGAACGTCATTTATTGTATTGTTAGCGTGCGCCGGGTCGCGTACCCCTTGTCATTTGAAAATTTCACAGAATTGTTATTTGTTAACATTTTGTATTGATTTTTTCACTGTATATAGTGAACATGTTCCGATATTTGTTTCTTTTAAAATCGTGTACGTAAATTAAAAACTGTGAACAGTAGAGCTGCAGTCCTATTACTTTTTGAACAACCCTCGTATTTGAACCATCTACAATCAAAATCATACATGAATAATTATTTAATTAAAAATATCTCAATTTTAGCGTATCTAAAATAGGCAAAATTTGAATAAAACATATATTGAATTGAAACTTTACGTTATCCTCCTTTGTTCCTTTGGTGTCTTTAAGACCCCTGAACCATGCAAAACTTGATGTTGTTATATGTACAAAAACCTGCGCTATTTGTATTAAAAATTGTTTGGAGGAATACACATCATTTAAAGTTTGTTACGACGATACATGCCTTTTTATCGGCAAAAGTGGCTAGCGTTTTAAAGAAGAAAAAAACAACAGCATTTTTCAATTAATAGTCTTAAACACTAGTGTGTATGTTCATATTTAACAACTTTTAGGTCTACAAATTAGTAGGTTAAAGATTATATGAAATACTTTGCATAAGCATTATGCATTTGCCTTTTAAGATTATTTGAACTATTGATCAAATAACCCAATTTGTTCTTATTTTCTTCAGTTTTTCAGCTGACTTGTTGCAGTTAAAATTTATATCAAGTCTTAAGTTCATATAGTTTTACTCAAACCACACAACATCAATCTAAATACTTTATTAAAATTAAGATTTGTCTAAAGCATAAAACATGATCATTTTACTGAATGAGAATGTTTCGTATCTGCACTATTAAAATGGCATTGATGGTTATGTGTAATAGTTTAAGTTCAACACGCATGTCATAGGTATATCATACTTTAACATGATTGCAATTAATGATACATGCTGTATATAATATAAATTTTTGATTGGACTAAATATAATTTATCTGAACATAGATTTAATTATACATATAGTGCCTAAACAGATATGACAATTTAATCTATACATTGATTTATTAATTTAACAAAAAATAAAATATTTTAACACTTATATGCATATTTCTGGATCTTATTAAAGTGGTCCAAATGGTAAAAACATGATTTAATTTAGTTAAACAAGCACACACATAATATCGAAACAATATTTAAGGTATATCTAAGCCACATTATGTCCATATTGTTGTAAATCTTAAGAAATGTCTAACATGTTTATCAAATACTTACATAATGGTTTTATAGCATATAAGACGTTTTTCCAGAGAATAAAGTTACGCTGAATGTATAGTAATGTGTCTTAAAGTTTGCTAAATGTAAACATAATAGTTATTTGGCCTTTGTCTCTATGATTAATCCCGTTGCCAACAGAGCAGGAGAAGTAAAAAAAGAAGGTCCATTTATGTGGCAAATGACTATTCTTTTTTAACGGTAAAATACAAAAATAAACATTTTTTGATCAATGCAATGCTTTATTCTGATTCTTTAAGAAAAAAAGTAATAATCCAGTTAAATATAAATATCAGGTTGCCCTTTGTATCTAAAAATAGGTCATTGTATCGGCTTATGCATCTTAGGAGTTTATACAGATATATTCAAAACGTACTACTGTTTACAGTATATCACCTTTATTGCAAAATATTTACGTGTATTTACCTCAGGGGAAAATATATAAACATGGATTTAATTAGTGACAACCACACTGTTAAGAACCTGATATCCCATTCTATGGTACTGTAGTGTGACTTATCTCTCGGCAGTACCAATAAACTTTTACGTGTCCAGTGAAGCATATTTAATATCTGTGTTGTGGGCATTAAAATGACGCTAATAAGACAATGAGTTTTTTCTTTATATTTCTGCGCATTAAATGTTTTAACAGTCTATCATTTTGCTGCCGTATGTTCCCAATTTTACTTGCGTTTTGTAAGTTAAAGATTTTCATGTGTGATCACTTAAAAATTGCAAAGGAACCGTACACCTCAAAGGAGTGTTTTTTATAAATCGACTGACCTGAGGTAAAGGATCTTGAACTTGTCCTTCATCAGCTTGTGTAAGTTTGTGTTGATGATGTTCACCTAGAATGTATTATTATAACACTATTATAATAATCTCGTAAATTAAATATCGTAAATAAATATCATTTAAAAAATGAAGATAGCTGAACAACGTGTAGCATTAAACTTTACTTCAAAAACAAGGCAATTGTCCATGTTCAAATAAAGAAAATCGTTACAGGTACCAGATGATATTTAAACGATTACTAAAATATGTTTAAGTGATGATCATTTGCAACAGTAATGAGTTTGGTTTTTAAGTATCTGTTTTATTAAAATGATATGTATAATATAGAGAAAATTATTGGTAAACAAAAAACTTACTCCGTTCAAACGGCTGTTCAATGAGCATCCCAATCACCTTTCTTTCTGTTACAGATTCAGCTAGAATTTTGTCTTGCATGAACTTATACTGAGTCACAATATTTTTGTTTTTAAAACTATCAATATTTTGCTGCGTTCTTTTCAGTTCTGGCTTTATTTGTAGGGATGCCACAAAGAGGTTATTTGGAGTGTCACTTTTTGAATCCAGTACATTGTTTTGTCGTGTCAATTCAGCTATCAAATCGTCGATATCCTTCTGCAGATCTTCCATTTTCCATTTGTCATTCAACATAATGACATTTGCCTGATTCAGAACCTTCTTTTTCAATTCATTTATACGCTCAATAACATGATCTGTGAATTCCTCCACGTCGCGAACAAATTGCTCAAAGAATTCGGTAAGCTGTTTTCGGTTGCTCTTTATCAATGATAGACTGTCTTCAGCCTCTTTCATGCATTTATTCATCTCCTTTCTAAGATTTTTAAATTCTTGACTGGTATCATATGCAGCAGCTTTTTCACGAATAAGTTCCAATTTGCATCCATTATGATATACAATAATGCATTCTGCACAGCCAACTTGGTCGTGCTTTGGACAATAAAATTTCACAAACTCTCCATCATGCTCTTGGCATGTTTCATACGTATCACCAACCATTACCTTTACCGAACTCGAATCATCGACTGATACTAAGGAATGATTTCTATTACTTTTACGTCCTTTGTGTTTCACAAAACATGAATTGCAAATGTTGACTTCACATTCAACGCAAAACCCATCTGCATTACTTGTTATATCATAATCTTCACATAAACTACACAGTTTGGCATTTTTGTCTATCGTCACTTTTTGACCAGGAACTTCCATAATTTTGAAACAACACCGTACCTATAAGTCATAAAATATAAAGTAGCATTCATTAATAGTTCATCTAGTTCATCTCAAAAACTTGACATATTGTGTATCCTTTCTATATCATTTGTTATCTGTATATACAAACATACATTTATGATAATATATAACTGATATGTCATATTTATTGTTATCAATTTTTAATTCTGTAATTAAAATAGTGTAAAATTTATTGATAACCATGATGTCATTTCTTCATTCATGGAAAGAGCTTGGGGAATATCTCTTTGTAAGCCTCTGATCGTGAAAGTTTCTGATTAAATGCTCACATGAAGAAACTTAAAATAAATAATGAAATAAAGAGGACATTTTATTTTCAAATTCGTGTGCCTTGCTAGAATAGGCGAACCTTCTCTTTCTACTATTATAATTCAATTAGATATAATAACAAAGAACAAACTTACTAAGCACTATACAGTTCTTTAATATTCTATTAATTGTGCATATATTCAAATTATATGTAATAGAGAGAGCACCGAAACACGAGGCTATCTGATTTGTACGAGGGGGCGTAGCCCCCGAGTATTAATCAGATTGCCGAGTGTTTTGGTGTTCTTTCTCTATTGTATCATAGTCAAACATAAAAGCACGTTGTCAAAAGATGAAACCCCGGCAAAAATGAACCAATGAACGAACATCTGAATATGACATTTCTGTCGCTTTCCCTTTCTCTGCCGTCACAATATGTAAACCCCAGCAAAAATGAGCCAATCAATGGGCATGCTCTGGAGTGCAGGTAACTTATACCCGCACTCCAGTTAACGCACTGTGCATGTATATCTATACGATTTAACCCTGACACATTTTCAACAGAAAGGTCTCCAAACTATGATACAACTATGTGTTATGATATCTGAGAGGTAGAGAAAAAAACATCATAAATGTATAAAACATGTTTTGATTATATAGCTGGGACACACCTGTATACATATGGTATAAAGCTTTTTTTGGATTATATTAAGTAAGACACAATAGATATCTGTAAAATGTAAGTAGTCGTGTATTTGAATATACAGTATTGCCATCATATGGAACACTGTTATATGCTAGTAAAGTTAGGTATTCCATGAAGTATTTCACTATCTATTTTGTTTCAGTCAAATGGAAATTAAAAATATAACAAAAATGCGAAGTTTTTTTCATGTTTACTTATTTTGAAATCAAATATATTCCATACACGAAAAATGTTAATTCTAAAAAAGACACATTAATTCTAAAACACATGAAATAAAAGTAAAAAAGTGATTAAATCTATTGAATGGCGTGTTCTGATTATAAAAAAAATACTTCACTTCTTTATCTCATGAGACTGCTTTCGAAGTTCAACACGTAAAGTAATTTATGTAAGGGAGGGACCGAGTGTCTGTCCATTGGTAATAAAATAGTGGAAACAAGGTATATGCTAGTTTTACATTATAGTACTACTATGATCAACATATATCAAAAATTGTACCTACTGCTTAAGCATTTTATATAAAACTGAACATTGCTTAGGGGGGGGGGGGGGGGGGGGGGGAGGGGTACTTCGCAAAAACTCAGTATATGTTCAAGCTTTACTGGTAACCGAGTACCGGAAACACCCTTGTGCATTACTTCAGGCACAGAGGGCACTTGAGGAGAACAAACGACGTTATGCATATAACATTTCGACACATAGTGTTCATTTGTGAAGTCACATGACTATTTTATATTCTGTAATTGACTTCATCAATCTAAATATACACACCAATTGTAAAAAGTTATACAAGTATATGGATGATATTAAAGAATAATAGTGGATAAGACTCACACTTATTAAAAAAGCGTATGCTGAAATCGTTTTGACTCAACGATTCACAAATTCTACTGAAAATACTGGAATTAAATGCTTAAAAAAAAGGAATTACATACGAGGATTGTTCGAAAAAGAATTGCTTACTGTCCTCTGTCTCGTGACCTACGTCGGACACGATAAAAACCAATACATACCTGTATAGGGTAATTCAATACCTACACAACGATCTATAAATGTACATGTTACACTAAGTGTAAGACATACAATTTGCCATTTAAATACACACAGCCATTGACCACTGTAGTAAAAATGGTTGGTAGAAGCGTCGACAAAAAAGCTCTTTCAAAACTTGGTTGCTCTTTGAAGCAGTTGATGACTGAACTCTCTACTGCTTTTGGGTCTTCTTGTGTGTTTTATGACACAGTTAGGCAATGGAAAAAATGAGTATTGTGTAGAGTGCATCAAAAATGCACCGAATTCAGGTAGGCCAAAATCTGTATCTCGTAACAAAATCGTTTCGAAAATAAAGGATATCATTGAAGGAGATGCCAGATTTACAGTTCGTGATATTGCACGAAAGGTAGGCATATCATTATCAGATAGTTTGCCAATGTCGTCACAGGTGATGAAACTTTGGTCCATTATTTTGAGCCCGTCAGAAAAGTTAGCAACAAAATCTGGTCCACTAAACACAACAAACGCCCAATAAATGCCAAGCGGTCTTTGAGTGCAAAGAAGGTTGCGTTCATTGAACGCCGCCTTTCCTTGTTGATCTTGTTTATCATATTTTGTATGCAATTTTCTAATCTGGTGAAGGAGTCGCAATAAAAGTGCCGTTTTAAAAAGGGCAAAAGTATCACTGGGAAGTACTACAAAGACGTAGTACTTAAGAAACTGAAAACGTATTATTAGAAACGACGCCCTGTCACTGGTTTTAAGCATATCCGTCTTCTATATGACAATGCCCCCGCTCATACCTCCGCAATAGTTAAGGCGTTTTTGAAAAAAGAAAAAGTAGCTGTTTTGCCTATCCCCTGTATTCTCCAGACCTTGCCCCATGTGATTTCTTTTTGTTTCCGAAATTGAAATCCTTCCTTGCTGGGCGGAAATACAAGTACCGACACGCACTTGGATCTGCCATTCATCAGTACCTTATTACTGTACCAAAATCAGCGTACCGTGACGCCTTCAAGAAGTGGAAACATCGACTGAAACTTTAAATTTCTAGCCACGAGGAACACTTCAAAGGGAATGAAATGAACAGTTTTGAGCTATCTTGAAATTTGAAGTCTCGTATTGAAGGACCTATGTCCAATGTATGGCGAAAACCAAAAAAGTTGGTACCCGACTTAAAGAACACTTTGATATTTATATTTGATATTCATGGTTAAACTCATATGAACACATGTATCAATTTGTAATTGGATGTATAATAAGCCGTTTTTCATACTACAGTTTGTGGTATTAACTAATGCTCCATTGAATTCATTTTTATGCGATATTCAACGTAATTTAACATATTGACCGTGGCTCATTAGTCAAAAATTGTTTTAGTATATGAAAAGGCTGATATTTAAAAAAACAAAACACAAAAATAAAGAGTTAACAAGTAATAAATAAAACAACAAATATTTAGTTATTAAAATGATAGTATTTTGTAGGCTCAATGACCTTTAAGTGATTATAGTAGTACCCTTTGTTCCATGCAGTTCGATTATGCTTCTATTTTTAAAGTCAACTTATATTCACTACAATAACTTACCGATTACGTCTTGTAAAGTAACATAAAGTCCTAATAACTTTATAGCTGTATTATATGTATTTTGATATATATATTAGTAATGTTTAATCATATCAGTTTTACAAAGAAAAATAGCTTGAAGGTTTTGAAATGACACTTATACATTATGATGCTTAATCTATCAAATGTTTAGTTTCAGATTACAGTCACTGTGATTTAAGACAAGGAATCATCGTCATTTTCTATACAGATATATCATTAAAACGTTACTCATTTGCCAACTAGATAAATTAAATATATTGTGCGTTTTATATTTCCTTTGTCTAATGGTTTTATAATAATGATTATGTATTGTGAATGGAAGTCAATTTTCTTAATTATTGACATTCTGCTACCTTTTAGGCACACAACGTTAAATATAACTTTTATCATATGTATGGTATATAATATGCCTTAAATTCATTTTATGAACAATATAAAACAAAATGTTTGACGTTTCTAAAGAAGGAATAACAAGATATGTATTGAGTCATAATGTGCCTTCAAATTTGTTTCATCAAATTGGACGTCCCCTCTTTTCTGAAATTTGTAAATTAATAATTTAAAGAATTTTTAGACAAGAAATTTTAAATGATATCTGGGATCTGTATAAAGATTTAAATCACATTTTCAGTTTAACTCTTGAATCCACGCCTTGTTTATTATACCCCCAAAAACAAAGTTTTGGGGGGAATTTAGGAGTCACCCGGTGGTGGGTCTGACTGTCCAGTGGTCCGTTGCATTTTACTTGTCCAGACCATAACTTAAAGACTAATGGTTGAAATTCAATACAACATCATAAAATGGTCAAGCACATTGAGAGGAAGTGCAGTGCACAAGAACCATAACTCCACTTTGACTAATGGTTTGTTATGTTTTGCCTGATTAAGTAATTATGTAAATGAACATGCATTCTGTTCGACGTGCATGACATACTTGCCCTTTTCTTATGTCTGTATAAAACATTGACCATTTTACTCACTTTGTAGTATTTAGAAAAAACATTAGAAGACAAATGAAACAGTTGCAGTTCTACGGAAAAAGGTCATTCCTGTTAAATAGAAATGAAGGTAAAACAACATTATAATAAGGATTTGTTCCTGTGCATGTATCGTTTATATTGTTTGAATAACGAAGACTACGCCGTGATGTTTCTACTGCAGAAGATTGGTATTCAGCAAAACTATAACTAGAACTGTCACTAAATGTGATTAATACCCCCACAAGACTGCTTCGGAAATGAGGATGTTACTAGTAACAGAATACCTTGTAAAAGAATTGAAATATAGAGTTATGGTTGTGGGCAATTAAAGATAGTTGTGGTTCTTATATGTTGCATTTCTTTTCAATGTGGTTGGCCATTGATGAAGTTTAATTGAATTACTCTGTAATAAGTCCAGAAAGACAAAGAAAAGGAACAAAGGACAATAACTCTATAAATACTGAAGAAAGAGTTATAGTTCTTGTGCAAAGCACTTCCTCTTATTGTGCCTGACCATTGTATGAAGTTGTTTTCAATTCCAACCGGTACGTTTTAAGTTTTGCTCCTGACAGGGAAAAGTATCAAAGGGCAGTAACTCTGTATTTTGTCAAAATGGAGTTATGGCTCTTGTGCACTGCACTTCTTTTTAATGTCTTTGACAGCTGTATGAAGTTGTATTGAATTCCAAACAGTAGTTTTCAAGTTATGCTCTGGACAAGGAAAAGTAACAAAGGGCAATAACTCTGTAATTAGTCAAGATGGAGCTATGGTTCTTGTGCACTGCACTTTCCCTAAATGTTCTTGACCATTGCATGGAGTTATATTGAATTCCAACCATTAGTCTTCAAGTTATGGTCCGGACAAAAAAGGCAACAGAAAAGTAACAAAGGGCAATAACTCTGTAATTACTTTAGATAGAGTTATGATTCTTGTGCACTGCACTTCCCCTTATTGTGTTTGATAATTGTTTCAAGCTTTTGAATTCCAACGAGTAGTTTTCTAGTTATGCCCCGGACAAGGAAAGTAACAAAGGGCAATAACTCTGTAATTAGTCAAGATAGAGTTATGGTTCTTATGCACTGCACTTCCTCTCAATGTGCTTGATCATTGTATATAGTTATATTGAATTCCAAACATTAGTCTTCAAGTTATTTTCCGGACAAAAAAATCAATGGAAAAGTAACAAAGGGCAATAACTCTGTAATTACTTTAGATAGAAATATGGTTCTTGTGCACTGCACTTCCCCTTCTTGTGTTTGACAATTGTATTAAGTTGTTTTGCATTCCAACCATTAGTTTTCAAGTTATGCCCCGAACAAGGAAAAGTAACAAAGGGCAATAACTCTGTAATTAGTCAAGATAGAGTTATGGTTCTTGTGCACTGCACTTCCCCTCAATGTGCTTGACCATTGTATGTAGTTATATTGAATTCGAACTATTATTCTTCAAGCTATACTCTGAACAAAAAAAGCAATGGAAAAGTAACAAAGGGCAATAACTCTGTAATTACTTTAGATAGAGTTATGGTTCTTGTGCACTGCTGCACTGCCCCTTATTGTGTTTGACAACTGATGAAGTTCTTTTGAATTACAACCAGTAGTTTTCTAGTGATGCCCCGGACAAGGAAAAGTAACAAAGGGCAATAACTCTGTAATTAGTCAAGATAGAGTTATGGTTCTTGTGCACTGCACTTCCTCTCAATGTGCTTGACCATTGTATGTAGTTATATTGAATTCCAATTATTAGTCTTCAAGTTATGCTCCGGACAAGGAAAATTCAACGGTCGTCTGGATCGACCGACCGACCGACCGCCCGACCGACCGACCAACCGACCACAGGGTGACTCCTATATACCCCTCCCCAAACTTCGTTTTTGGGGGTATAAATATGCAATTTATTCTTCTATTATAGTATTAATATGCGTTGCAGTCTAAATATTCGTAATGGATGGCTCCTTGATAAGATACCGTTAATGCAACTGTACAATTTACTACAACCAATGCCATTTATAAAGGCTTGGTCTCTCTCGGATATTAACAAGTTTATTTGCCTTGTATTTACTACTAATAAAACATCATCGGCGTATTCTAGAATGATAAAAGTCTGATGTAAGACATATCGAGAAAAAGTTAGATTTGCAAAACAACAAGTTGACAAAAGGTCTATAATTTTACGTATAACTGGTATTGTTTTATATTGGCCATGACAAGACGTTTGCTTCTCGTAATCAAGACACTTATTAACGACCGCGTGAATGAGTGACACAATTTTTTTTTTTCATAGTGATTTTACTTGCCATCACACATAATCTGGCTACTTAGGAAATTTAATTTCGACAATTGCTTAGAATGTTTTTAACAACCAATTCTGATAAAAACCAGTGTTAAAGGTTTCTTGCATGTTGATGCATGCGCGATTAGTAGTTAATTTAGATAGTTTTGAATGGTCAAAAATAAAGATGAAAGTCAACGTGACTTCGTACATTAACTTGTGTAGAGTGTTAACGATTTAAGCATCTTCAACATTATACAATTATTTACATTGCTATTTTAAGCGATATACCCAAAAGTAACCTTATGCAAATCAAAATTCAAAACGAAAGTTCAATCAATATAAAATATCGTATTAAAACGCTGAACAATATATAGTTTATGTATTCAATACATGTATGTATAATGGGGTAGCTTGTTCTAATCTTTAAACTTCTAACATTGCAAAAGTAGAGCACTTTGATTATATAGATGTAAAACGGTGCTTTGAAGTATGACTATATATTTTATTTTCCAATATACGCAGCGAACTCAATAGTGCTATGTATTTGTCATATATTACATAGAGTTATACTAACTCGCATTATGCTGTTTAAGAAGATTGATAAATGGAAAAAAGTTATGTTCAAGTGACGTAATCTAATGAGGCCATTTTACAAAGTGGTCGGTAAACGATAACAAATGTATACATTTGTATATCATTCTACTAATCTGATTTATATATCTCCATCAATTACATAATTACATATATTTACTGTAAAGTAAGATCGACTTTCGTTTTGATCAAACTGGACAACCAACTTTAACTACAAAATTGAAGTTTTAATAATTCTCTTTTTTGCGGTCTATATGCTAGACATGTTGTACACATTTTGTTGTATCAAATTATAGTTACTTCGTTATCTAACTGTCCTAGTTAACTATATCTGAGTTATCAGTTTGAACTATAAATTGACATCTTTAAAACAAACGAATATATGCATGACATGGTATAAATGTTAAATTTCAAACTAATTTGACACATATATAAGACAATTAAGTTCCTGCAATTAAAATAGGATACCGAATAGAAATATTAAATGTATTTAATATAAGTAATATAAGCGTGTCTGTAAAACAACTATTCAGATATAAGATTATAGTGATTGAAAGTTATTTCTTTGTTAACGAAAATCAAAGCAATTTCATTGTCTTTAAGAAAAAGGGTAGTATAGTATTTGCAATATTGTTTTGTATTCAAGAGAGAAACAAAAATAGATAAAATTATTGGCATAAGATGAGACCATGAAATTGACAGATACGCAGAGATTTAACTATTGCAACGAGAAATTAAAGTTACGAACTTGTTTTATTAACACGAGAAAATGAAAATAATTTGCGACCTAAAAGAAGGTTGTCCTTAAAGTTGAATAATCATATCTTTGTTGTGCTTTAATTTGTATTTTGACATATGTCACAGCTATCTGATTACAGAGAATATTGAAATCATTACACCTAGTGAGCTTTTTTTCTCTCCATTTTTATAAAGGAAACGTGAACAAGTATAACCCTGACTCTTTCTATATAAAGGACATGTTTACATAAACTTTATCTGATAATTTAAGAGTTTTAGTATCTTAGTTTAGTGTACCTAAGTGAAAACATGTACTTTTGACATTATGATTTTTTTGTCAAGTTAAATCCCGATGTCCGATATGCTAGCTGTATTGCTTAATCACAATAAACAATTCAATGACACCAAGGCGTTTGAACTGATAGTAATCAGGGACGAGTGGTTTAAATACAAAGATCGGAATAACTCTGCATTTGACTGTTGGTGACGTCCCTTGATGAAAAACTATGATACAAATTGTTATTATATGAGGAAGATAAACAAAAGTCGTCAATGTCTACACTCCCGGTTTTGTAGCAAAATGTTGCTATCATTTGAAGATGATATGATGGATAAAATGATGTTAAAACTTAATTAAAATAACTAAAAGTAATTAACATAAATGCTTAGTGTAATTTAACTTAATTTGTCTTACCTGTTTATTCGTATCCTTTATGTAGCTGTTCGGGTAGGTTTTAACTGATAATGTGACTGTGTACATCGACCAGTATCTATAGATAATAATTTATCATGTACTCTCATTAACTTTACATTATAGGTCGATTAAATTATCTGGTCCAATGACAATATTAGTTTTATAAAAAGAGTTTACTTATCATATTACAATTAAAAAAATAACAATAAAGTTCAAACTTTATGATAAAAAAAATATGTTGATAAATATAGTTTACATATCAATTTGTGACAAAAACTATTGACCTTAAATAGTATAAACGATATGTTTTTTTTTTTCTAGATAATCTTCGTTTCCTAAAATCTTAAATGCAATTGGTTCGCTTATATCTGATATCGTGAATAGTTTATGCGCTTATTGTTTTCAAAGCGCTTATTATCTATCCGCCTATTATTTGTGTTTAAAGATAGAAAATTATGAACGCAATAATGATAACTCTAAAACACTGGAATATGCATTGCATTTACATTTAGGTTAAAATATAAAGCTTATTGTATAATTTCAAGTTTTATATTCTTATATAAGCTTAAGGCTTTACATAAAATTATCATATTCTATATAAACACTTGAAAATTATGAAAGTTAAATAGCGGATTGTGTTTACAAGTAAAAAGTTAGAGTCGTTCGCAAAAGAATATACAGAGTCCATGTACTTCAAATTAAAAATTGTAAGCTTTGAATGTCAATGTTGTTGTTGTTTTTCTGTTGTTTTTTTACTTTTATTTTCTGCTTTTGATATTGAGAACATGTGTTATATCTTATATTATTTTGTTTTTGCAATGGCTTGTAATCATTTGCACTTTATCAATTATGTTGATAATACATTAGGTAAGTAGAACACTTCAAAATTAAATTGGTTTATAAAACAATATTATATTATAAAACAATACAATATAATGTGATACATGTTTAAAACTTGATTGCTCACAGACTTAACGGAGTTGTTTTCTTATGAATTAACTGAAAATATATTTTTACACTTACTCGTATGTCGTATTACATATTATATAGGACAGGATGAGTAACTTCTGCGCAAAATGTCATTTCGTTTTCTTAGGATAGATAATTTTATTGTCCAAATTGTACAATAAATGAGAAACAGTGCAAAGTCTTTTACTAAACCCAGGAGAAACAAACTGGATTTTTTATTAAAATCTGAGTATATTTCTTTAAAATGCCTCATTGTTATACTGTTCAAAAAAGTTCTTACATCAACAAAACTAAAATAAAAGTCAAATAATAACTTAAATGCGTCTCTGCCAGTTTTCAATGATAGTCAGCTATACCCCAGCAGCCAGCTTGAGTTTCTCAAAGAGTACACTGATTTGCAATGTCTACAGTAATTTTAAGAGTAAGCATAAAATGGTAAACTTTTCATTGATATTACTATAATCCATGGATTTTTTTGCATACAACATGTTCAAATGGTCTGTTCTGAATTACACAGAATAATAAATAGTACAACTAAGTGAAAACTGTTTTACATTATTTACCTAGTATATAAAAGTAAATTATGAATTAAATGGATAACAAATATCAATTTGTCACAACCAGTAATGTATGTTCTTGTGTTATACACGATTGATTTGTATGAATCTTATGCAAAGTAACTAGTATTTGTTTTCTTCAAATATAAAAAAATAGATTCAGAACCTAGGAAGCTTGATGAAATGTTATCTTAAAAAAGAAACACCCGTTGCCATTTAAACGCCTTATAGTAGCGAGTAAGTAAGTTAAGTTACAATATGGACATATTGAATTGAACGTAATACGAAACAAGCTTTTACAAGTTAACTAACAAATCGTTGTGGCATAATCTTCAGCTCAACTTTCTTTTTGCTTTGATTAAACGTTGTCTTTACAGAAATTTGATTTACTTTCTTACATTTTCACAATATAGTGCACACACTTATATATGAAAAAAACCTTTAAACCTCAATTATATTTAACTTTAAGTTTTCAAAGATGCTAAAAATAAAGTTGCTTTTAACTGATATTGTGAATTTTGTGTGTGTGTTTTTTTTTAAATTTCCGCTTACTATCCAGGCACAAATTGTGTAGATATCTAGAAACGAGCTTTAAGATAATACAAGAACTATGTGACTACTTTATGATTCTGTGGCCAATAATCGGGCGTCGGAAAAACAACAACGCTTTACTTCCATTTTGTGAAAGGGGAGCTGAAAAAGATACATTTCGGATCTGTTCTTACATAGTAGCACCCATAGTAATCTATTTCGGATATATATCTTGCGGTATAGCAAAGCGTGCAAATACATACATTATAATGTCATAACGTATAAAACATATTTATACACACAGCCATTGAAGCTCCTGAAAGGATTCCACTTCGAAGTGCGTTTTCTAATACATGAATCACAAAACAAACATCATTCAGGGAAACAACAATATCAATTGAAATTTATTTAAACTATAAACGACGATTCAACAAAAGCGACATAATATATTTGGCTGGATAAAACAGTAAAATACATAAATAAAATGTTAAACATTGATTGAACAATGCAAATAATTCAGCTTAATCCTGCCAATATACAATGTACCATAAAAATACAATTTATACAAACCATTGTGGTGCATTCAAAAACCCAAAAACAAAAGTATATAAAATGTGTACAAAGTGCCTCATCCAAAACACGAGTAGCATTATAAAATTAATTCTAACATCAACTATGATCAAGTGTAGAAGAGAAGTAAAAGATAACAATGAGTAGCCAATTCTTCAAACAGTTTGATTCAGGGTGTGTTACACGAGCGTTTACCAAAAAGTGAATCTGACTGAATTATAATACCAAGGGAAGTAACTCAATTTACCTTCAATATTTAGAAGCCATACTTTATCTCCCTGACAGAGACACACAAAAATAAAAGACATAATAGTCTGTACACAAATTATTTCAAACTTTAAAAGTATATTTTTCACACAATCATTTTAAACTCCTGAAATGATACCATTTCGAAGCGTGTTCTTTAGTACATACATTTAAAACAAACATCATAAAGGGAAGCAAAGTCAGCAATTGAACTGTGCTTATTTCATTTATTAAATCTGTATAATTAATAATGATTCAACAAATTAACATATATTATTCGCTGTATATGTACAAGAGAATGTATTTATAACTATAGGTGTGAATATTCGATCCAAATAAATTTTTAAAACTAATCGTAATGTATCTACCTTATTATTTGTTTCTTAAACACTTCTTGAAAGTCCTTCATATGTCTATGTATATACTATATAGACACAAATCTTGTTTGATGAATAACAACTATATTAACCCTCATGATCAATTGTATAAGAGAAGTTATCCATTAACAAAAGCTATTTTGCACTTTTTCTTGAAAACGAGCAGAAAGTTTTATTTACATTATTATAAATAAATACAAAATGACGATATGTATAAAATCTTATAAATCATAAACAACACATACTCTATAAGAGATAGTCTGAAATTGAATTGACGGATCATAAATTAGGCAAGCTACTTAGACCTGCATAAAGCTGGCAATTGTTTTTATTCTGCTTATATTTAAGTCCAATGATGTCAAGTTCTTAATAAGAAGTTCATTTAGACGTAATGCTGGTGAATGACTTGACATTTTTTGAAAACAGTCTGACAGTTGTGGCATAGTTTCTAGATCGTCTCACTACTTGTTTATTGAACGATATTCATCTAAAATTAGTTACCACAATGTGAATGGAAATTACTATTAACCCTACACACATTTGACATTATTTTCACTTTATTCATGTTGTCTTTACAATTTTCAATTGTTCTATAAATACGGATGTACACGATATACATGTAGTAATGAAGTTACTAATATAACAAGACCTGAAGCTTGATAAATGAGTTCATGATTTAAATAGTCTTTTTTATATTATCAAGGTTCCTAAAATTCTTCTGCGTGCAGATTTATTTTCTAATTTGTATCGACAAATGATCAACTAATCAATATTTTTTCACAATGTCAAATAAGTTTGCATCCAGCTTCTATAGGAGCTGATTCAAAAGAAAAATGACTGTAGTTTGATCTTAATAAATACATGCTTACTAAAATACGATATAAAGAAACCACTGATTTGAATTTCAAAATAAAGGGGACGCAACTGTTGCTCACGTATAGTCATTTCATTGTCCTCGATTGGAGAAATTTCGATACACAGGTTAAAATGTGATTATTGTCATATGTAATACAACTAATGTAATAACATGACTATATGAAAAACTAATATAAACAAGCATATTTTAAACACATGATTATCACATGTTTCCATGTGAAAAATTCCTCATAAATATGTCAAATCTATATTCATGAACTTTCATGTGATATATTTATGGATCAATTAATTAGATTCTACACAATTGTTTTCAAATAATATTGAATATTTTTGAATATGTCTGCAAGCAGTAAATCTATGTAAGGTTTATAGACAAACAGTGTACATGTTGAGTCAACTGTGTGTGATTTAAACAAGAATCTGCAGGTTAGATTAATGTGGAGGTATATTCAAATTCTTTATAGTCAAGCTTTATTTGTCATCCAATTGAATCACTCTAATTCTTAAAACTTATTTTGTTAATTTTCATAGAAGAACAAAGGGTTTGTCGCTTTATTTTTTATAGTTCTTCAAAAGTGAAAAATAATGAAGACAAATAAACCTTTACACTAAGTATAAACTTCGACAGGAGCGATAGAAACCTGAAAATTTCTGTATATGAAGAATGTCACTGATTAACACTGACATATACAAAATGTATTTAAAAGAACTGTTTAATTTTAAGAAACTGAACGGGAGTTTTCTCCACATTAGTTTGTAAATAGTACGCATACAGCGGACAATAAGTTTTTTTAATCAACATAAACATTAATTAAATTTCTATATTTGTCATACCTTCTCCATGTTCTTATTTGTCAAATTGACTTTGATACTTAAATATCGTTTATTTGTTCGTCTGCTTAGTCCAAATGCA